TCACTCATAAAAATATTTTAAAAATTGTATAATGTCTGTGCTGATGTAGCTCTATCCCAAACTCCTTGTTCTTTGACCTTTGTTTAATTGTCATCTCTTTGTTTTCCTGCCAGGTGCCTGTGAATCTGCTCCGTGCAGGTCGGATCTTTGTGTTTGAGCCTCCTCCTGGTGTAAAGGCCAACATGCTCAGGACTTTCAGCAGCATCCCTGTGGCTCGCATGTGCAAGGTGAATAGAAATAGTCTCACAGTTTATAAGTTAAATCGCCAATCACCTACATGCTTCCTCTACATTTACTACCTAAATAACTTGTTATGTTTCTTCAGGCTCCCAATGAGCGTGCACGTCTGTACTTTCTGCTGGCTTGGTTCCACGCAGTCATTCAGGAGCGTCTGCGCTATGCACCTCTGGGATGGTCCAAAAAATACGAGTTCGGAGAGTCTGACCTCCGCTCTGCCTGTGACACCGTTGACACCTGGCTGGACGACACTGCTAAGGTTATTATACAAACTGCTTTAAATTTGTCAGCATAACATTTTTTTTGCTGTCAATGGAAACTTGCATCAACAATCCATGAATTCATGTTTTACTTACTGCCTGATTGACCAAAATAATCAAATCACTGATCTACAAGTTTTGACGCATTGATGTAAAACTCCATCCACCTTCCAAACACACAGGGTCGTCAGAACATCGCACCAGACAAGATCCCCTGGGCGGCTCTGAAAACCCTGATGGCTCAGTCCATCTATGGCGGACGAATCGACAACGAGTTCGATCAGCGCCTGCTCATCACCTTCCTGGATCGCATCTTCACCAAGGGAAGCTTCGACAGCGAGTTCAAACTGGCTCTCAAAGTTGACGGACACAAGGATATCAAGATGCCCGATGGCATTCGGTGAGTTTTATTTGAACTTTTGTTCGATTTAAAGACACGTTCAGATGAACTTAACCAGTAAAGTTTCATGTCTTGTTGATTTGTTTCAGGCGTGAGGAGTTCATGCACTGGGTTGAGATGCTTCCCGACACTCAAACTCCATCTTGGCTTGGGTTGCCTAGCAATGCTGAGAAGGTCCTGCTCACCACACAGGGTATGAAGCTGCAGCTGGCCTTCTTCATCGTCTGTACTGTTGTGTTTTGTCACAGCAAGCGAAACACAGCACATCACCACTCTTCTTCCTCAGTCTGTTGGACAGATGAACCATTAACTATCTCTCCCTCTCTCTGTTCTAGTGTTTTAACTCTTACTTTGACAGGCTGTCACGGTGCAGTGAAATGGTCAAGATCTCATATTCACATCTGCTTTGGGCAGAACACTGTTTGTGGTGGCAAAGAAAATGTTCAGGGTTCTTCTCCCGCTAATCTCTCATCTTCTCATAAGTTAACTTCACTAGTTAGCTTTATAGGGTTCCACAAGTATCCCTAGTTGTAGTTTTGTGTGTCATAGTCCTGCATTTCAGTTTAGCTGCAGCTCACAGCCATCATGCTTTAGAAGGTGCTCTGCCCAAAGGAAGGGTGTGCGTGTCCTCACCCTCCAGCAGCTGTATTTCACAGCCATCATGTCGCTTTGCTAAGATACCATTCCCATCCCACCACCATGTCAGGATTCAAACCTGCCACACATCTCCACCTCCCCTTTGCTCCTCGTCAAATCCTCCATTCCTGTCAGATTGATTTCCACACCTCCAACACACTCCTCCTTCCATTTGTACCTCCCTCCCCTATCGTCACTCCCGTCCCTTAGTTTCTCCCTCAAAACCTGACTCCCTACATTAGTTAGATTCATTTCTTTTACAGGTCCAGTCATGAATGCGGTTATTTCTGCATTTGGGATTTATGCGTTTGTTGGAAATGCTGCCTTATTCCTTGTGTGTTTAATCCGACCCAGTGTAGTCCTAATTTCTTTTTCTGGCACTATTTCTTTTTCTTGGTAAGCTTCATGTTTCTTTGTACCACAATTAATTTCTTCTCCTCCTACCTCCCACCATGGCCTTGTTTTTCCACCTCCCTCCCCGCTCACATGCTCCCTCTGCCGGGCTGCGCAGGCACTGACATGATGGGTAAGATGCTGAAAATGCAGATGTTGGAGGATGAGGATGACCTTGCCTATGAGACGGAGAAGAAGGAGCGCACCACATCCACATCTGACACCCAGCCGGCCTGGATGAGGACCCTTCACACCACTGCCTGCAACTGGCTGCAGCTCATGCCGCAAACAGTCAATCTGCTCAAACGCACAGTAGAGAACATCAAGGTAATGGCTGAAATAACAGGAATGTTGGTTGGGGAACAGACTTCTAGAGACAAACCTAAAATAAGCAAGCTGCTGCGCAACATCATTGAAAATAACTTATGTTCGTTGTTGTGTTTAAGATTTTTTGTGCTTGACTAACGAGGTGACGACAGGTTTAGTTACTTACTCGGCCTTGTGTGTCACGAGTTCCACTGTATTTGATGAATTATCTTCTTCATCCACCACAACCACCAGGACCCACTGTTCAGGTTCTTTGAGCGTGAGGTGAAGATGGGCTGCAAGATGCTGCAGGAGGTCCGTCAGGATCTGTCCGATGTGGTGCAAGTGTGCGAGGGCAAGAAGAAGCAGACCAACGACCTGCGCACGCTCATCAGCGACCTTGTTAAAGGTTACTCCTCTTTGTTTATGTTTTTAAATAGATTTAACATATTTAAAAAATGTAATCGAATGGGGATATATCTGCGCAATTACAATTTCTTATGTTCTCTCTTTGTCTTAACAGGTGAGCTATTCCTGGACAGATTTTGCTTTGAGTGAATAACAAATGTGAAAATATCTGTTTGTCTGTCTCTGTAGGAATCCTCCCTCGCAGCTGGTGTCGCTACACAGTCCCAACTGCCATGACTGTGATCCAGTGGGTGGCCGACTTCAGTGAGAGGATCAAACAGCTGCAGCACATCTCCCAGGGAGCTGCCAGTGGGGGTGCAAAGGAGCTGAAGGTAGTTTGGTTAACTGTTCATCCACAGGATCTTAAAATAGTGTGATAGATTCTGGAAAACTGACAGAGGCACTCACTGTACTGTTATATTCCCGTTCTCTTTCCGTCTCTGTTTCACCAGAACATCCACGTGTGCCTCGGCAGCCTGTTTGTACCAGAGGCTTACATCACCGCAACCCGCCAGTATGTGGCTCAGGCAAACAGCTGGTCTCTGGAAGAGCTGTGTCTCGAGGTGAATGTCACCACTGCCCAGGGCACTCCACTGGACGCCTGCAGCTTCGGCATCAAAGGTCAGAATAACAAAGCTCAAAGTGATACCACATTTTACACTGCTGTTAAGTGAGGGTCCAGATTGTCTTCATAAATACCTATGAACGTAGATGGCACTCAGTAGAGCACTGGCCTATCTCACAATGTTAAATGTAGTGGGGGGGGTCCTGGAACTGCCTAAAAATTGAAGGGGCCCATGTCCCACACTCCCATCAATAATCCAGAAAATCTGTGAAGTAGTTTTTTGTGTAATCATGCTGGAAAAACAGGACATTCTCCTCGGCGGAGGTAACTAAAGGAAGGAAAGCTCCTATAAATACTTACTTAAAATAAGAATCCAGATTGTCACCACAAGATGAGTCGTATTATTCTATTATTTTTAATGTCGAACATGCTCACTGTTTCTCTCAGGTCTGAAACTGCAGGGAGCTACCTGTGCCAACAACAAGCTGTCTCTGTCCAACACCATCTCCACCGAGCTGCCTCTCACTCAGCTCCGCTGGATCAAGCAGTGCAGCACTGAGAAGAGACACATGGTATGAATATAGACACACAACTCATGTTTCTATGAAGTGTATATTCTTAAAGCATTTTGAAAAACATGTTTTGCTGTCCATCTAATTGTTTTCCTTCCTCCCACCACAGGTGACTCTGCCCGTTTACCTGAACTTCACCAGGTCTGATCTCATCTTCACCGTTGACTTCGACATCGCCACCAAGGAGGATCCTCATAGTTTCTATGAGCGCGGAGTCGCTATCCTGTGCACCGAGTAAACAACACAAGTCGTTCCTTAAGACCAGAGAGTCTTGCTTATTAACGTACACTTAATCACGTACCTATTAACCACCATTTATAAAGTAGTTTAGTCAGTATAAAATGTAGTTAGATATTTGTGGAGCAGTAACACACATGTACTCATTCTTAATGTTTTTGGAAAGTGTCTCAGAAGGTCGAGGGAATGTTGACAGATGGAAAATGATGAGGAAAATGAAATGTGGAAAAAGAGAGTTGAAGGGAAAAAGTTGTTTTATGAAGGAAGCTGTATGTTTTTAGATTGAATAAAGCCACAATGGAAGGAAGATTAACTGCAATGACGACGTCAGTGTCATTTTTAATATTTACTGTCATTACTTATAATGGTAATAAGGGATTTAGGTCTTCGCATCTCTTCAAAACACTTTTCTATGGGGAATCACATTGTTGTCCTATTTATATATTCTGTACATCTTGTAAATACCCATTGACCTTATGATACATTTGAAGAAAAGATGTTTATTTTTTTTACGACTACCACAAATGCACTTTTCCAGTCAACAGGAGAATGCAACCAAATTAACAGAAAAGATCTTCTAACTTAACAAATGCAAGTTCCTGTTTGACACTGTTTTTGTTATGATTGTAGAATTCTTTCAATTTGTATTATTTAAATATTTATTGAACTTTCTGGAGGCTCCACTGTTGAAGCTTGACTTCAATGTCAATGTGTTGCTGCCACCTGTTGGTCAGGATGAAATTGGAGAGGAGGTCCCAACACTTGATTGACAACACATCTAATAACAGGAAATAAGATTTTGTCTACAACAAACATCACACTTGTATGTTCATCAACACTGAATAGGACTAATGAAGTTGTAGCTTTTTATGGATGTTGATTTCTAAGAGTTATTTACAGTCTGAGGTTGGCTGTAGAAATGTATAAGACTCTTGTCTGCAAGAGAACTGACATGAACAATTTATTTTCCAGAAAGAAACCACACACAGCCAAAATGACAGAAATGGTGTTAAAACAATTTGTGAATGTGATGCGTTCTCATTTAGTTCAGCTTCCCTCTCAGAATGAAGTTGTCAGAAATGCTTATCCAGGTTTTTGAGCACATCTTTGACAACATTTCGGAGGAGCTGTTATTGCTGAATGTCCTCCAAATCAGGAGGGGCTCATACTGAATGTGTCTTCATTGACAGGGTGCGTCATGTATGTCGGGTCTGTCATTAGGATCAGGTCACTATGGTAATTCCTCCTAACCAAACAAAAACGTGTTCAAAAAGAGACTTATCGCCTGAGTAATTTTGCAATTACTCAAGGTAGAACTCCAAATGCATTTTAAATGAACTATTTACATAATGTCATTCCACCATACACCTCATTTTAAAGTGTTTAATATAACAAGAACATCATTCTGTCAGTCCGTCATCAGAGGGGTCTAACATGGTTCGGATGCAGAGTCCCCCGCCTCTTCCTCCTCCATGTTGACGACACACTGCCTCTTCCTTTGTGCCACTTCAGCTCCAGGGGGGCCGAGCTTTCTCTTGTAAAGAGATCTGAGGTCACAGGGGCTGGGAGATCTCTCCGAGGAGCTGTCCAGCATCCAGGATGAGCCCCCTCCCGCTGGGGTGAGGGGTCCTGGTGTGTGAGGAGTTGAGGATCTCGAAGCAAGCAGGCCTGAATCATGAAGTTGCAACTCGATATCCATGGTTTGGGCGCATGCTGTGAAATCGTTTGCTGCAAGATTTCCACAGACGTCCTTGTCGCCGTGGGAGGGCAGAGTGTCGAGCTCATAGACCCACAGCTCAGAGTCACTCCCACATTTCATCTGGACGTCCACGGGATCTCTCGTCCCATCTTTCATCACATCTCTGAGGGCAACAGGAGCAGGGTGGTGAAGGATAAATCTCCTGCTGCGGCCCAAGAACCGACGCCCACCTCCTCCTCCTCCCTGCTGCCGTGTTCGCCTGGAGACACCAACATCGAAGTGTGACTCATCTGAATCCTCAGAGCTGCCGTCATACGGGTCCAAAAACTACAATTATAAGCACACAGACATTTACACGAACACGTAGGAGAGCAGCCAGATTTTTGATTCATGAAAGGAGTGTTATAATATTAATTAAACTAATGTTGTCATTTTAACAAACTGTCTGACAAGTGCTCCTGGTCTTTCTCTCTCCTTCACTCCACCTCTCCTCTCTCTCCCCCATTTTTCTCCTCACCCCAACCAATCGAGGCAGATGGCCGCCCCACATAGAGTCCAGTTCTGGTTTCTTCCTGTGAAACATGTACTTTTCTTTGCTCCACAGTCACAAAGCGTTTGCTCCTTGAGGTCTAATGTATGTGATTCAGTGCCATGCAAATAAAAGTGAATTGAATTACCAAAGAAGAGCAGCCATGTCTTGCAGCAGGCTTCAGTGTCCGACGCAATGTCCCACTCTCCGGTGCACTGCTCACACATCCCTGTTCAAGGAGGACGTCAACGATTATTGGTTTGTTTGTTTGTGAGCAAGGTGGCACAAAAACAACAGAATGGATCACCATGAAACTTGGTGGAAGGATGTGGTGTGGGTCAGGAAAGAAGATATTAAACTTTAGTGTCCAGGGATTTTTTTCACTTTCTTTTACAGAGTGAGATGTGGTGTTTTTGGACACTATCACCGCTTCACCTGGAAAATGGATGGGGACCTGATACTTATGAATGTGAGGGATTTGCTGCAGCTTGATTGAATTTAAGGAGACTGTTGTTCTCTACTGAGTTCATTTTCAAATGCAAAAGCTCAGTACTTTTCTGTTGCAATGTTGGAGGTAACAGATATACAGGATCAGTCTCTGGGGAGGGAAACAAAATATGACCCAGTTTCAAAAGACATTTGCTCGAGACATACAATGTAGAATGTTTCATCTGAAACTGGGCTTAACATCTTTTTAAGCCATTTAAAATATACATCGCCACGTCCCCACTTGTTCTCAACTGAATAAAAATCCCGACCATACCATGGTGCTGGTGTCCGACCATCTGGGACTGATTTCTGAGTCAGTGTCAGTGCTGGACTCCACTTTGCACATGTCCTGACAGGAAACACAGGTCACTACAGTGCACATGCATGTGGGTTAAATGATTCAGATCAGTCTCTGACATGATTCTCTGACTTGAGCTGAACTAATCTCACCATGTATTTGAAAGCAAGTTGCTCCATGTTGTTGGGCGCGTGTCTCTCAGTGTGATCTGCAATGAAAAAGCATCTGAGCACATTCAAACGCCGCAAAAACACAAACTGCAGGTGGATGTTTTGTTGAAGAATGTTACACAGAAGGTGTTAAATCAAATTATACTCAAGCAGTAGCAAAATCCCAATAAAATTAATATCTCACAGCTCATGTTTCAATATTTAACTTTAGTTTGGAATCACTCTAAACTAAAAAGGACCTGATACCCACCTGGAAGTGAGAGTTGTCTTCTGCATGTCAGGACATTTAGCACATGGGACTTTGAATTAAGTGAAATCAAACACTGAGTGTGAATAAAGTCGTGGTTGTGTGTTCGTTTACCTCCAGGTGCCTGATGGGAGACCATGTGTTCCCACAGGTGAGAGCACGAGCTGGAAAACACTCATTCAGACATTTTAACAAAATAAAACGTCGGGTGTTTCCTTTTTCAAAATAAAATATATTTATATCCTTATTTTGTATTATTTATTTTGCATTATATACAATATAGGTAAAGGTACATATATACATACATAAAGATGTATAGGAAGCTGGATTAAGTACAAAATAATTATTGATTAATGTTGCATGGAGAAGTTTGTACTCCTTTTCGATTATGTAGATTCAATCATTAAGCGTTTCATTTGTTTTCCTCATCAGTTTGTAAATAATACTTGTTTCTGTTTATATTTTTCACTTGTTTGTATAATTTCTCTTTCTTTAATTGACATGTTGGAAATAAATACAAACAATTACAAAATAAAATAGAATTCTCATTGACCTGCAGTGACCTCGTTGCTTTATTTTTGTAACTTGGTTCAGCTTGAGTCAGGGATTTTAATAATAATATATTATTATTATTATTACTGATTCATTTTGATCTTAGAGTAAAGTAAAGTTGTGACAGTTCATTACAGCCTCCTCCACCTCCACCACTTCCCCGGTGAACCGTAGGGGGGGACCGGGAGACAGGCAGAGGAGCACCGGCCTCTCGGTTCCACGCTCCCCCTCCGTCCGTGCGTAAGATCCGGCCTGGAGGGGGGGGTGAATGTTAATTTCAAAGATGGCGGCGGAGGGAGGAGGGAAGGAGATGAACGAGATCAAAACTCAGTTCACCACCCGGGAAGGCGTCTACAAGCTCCTCACGCACTCCGAATACAGCCGCCCGAACCGGGTGCCTTTCAACTCGCAGGGCTCCAACCCCGTCAAGGTCTCCTTCGTCAACGTCAACGACCAGTCGGGCAACGGCGACCGGATCTGCTTCAATGTGGGCCGAGAGCTCTACTTCTACATCTACAAAGGCGTCCGGAAGGTAGCGTGCTAATGTCAGCGGGGGATCCGTGATACATGTCGGGGCACACCGGCTGCTAGTCCGGGTGTCCGGGGTACAGTCGGCCGCGTTGAGCGACTCTGGCCGGTGCTTGACTTTCAAATTAGCTTGTTAGCTCGAAGCTAGGGTGTAAGCTAACCAGCGCTACTTGCTAACGCTAGCAAGCCAGCGGCTACTCCGAGGCCAGCGGCTAAAGTCCGCTCCCTCGCCCCCGTCAACAGTGTTTGAGTTCGGCTGGGTCGTGAGGCTCTTCCGGGTGCAGTTGACATTTTGATTGAACTGAAGCTGTCGGGGCTGTGAGTGCTGCTGTGATGGTGGAATCTGACACCTGTCGACGCCCTTTGACTGACAGGTGTGGACACATCACGGTTATGGAGATCCAGTGGTGCTCGGACAGTCGTTGGGCTAACAGGCTAACTGCTAACGTCACCACCTTCATTTAACGACAGTTAGCTCCTAGCGTGTCTGATCGACCTGAGCTAACTTGCTCTGCTTGTTGGGAACGAGGTGTAACTCCACCATTTTCAGTGTCATCTCTGCGTGGCTGTTGTGTCACCAACACGTCATCCACTAACTCGTGACTCATGACAGTCTGATGGTTTCCTAGTTAAACAGAAGGTGGAGGACTAGTGGGAATCACATGAGAACTTGTTATGATGAGTTGCCTCCAGTGTCCAGGTGCCTTGTTGGAGTGTCCTGATAGCCACGATTTTAAACTTGGATTAAAATCGTGGCTTCTGTCACTGCCTCCACTGGTTTGAGCCACAAACTGGAAGCAGCTGACACAGAAACATGTGGCTGTCATGTGTGAGATCACATCAACAGCTGGATTCAAATCCTGAACTGCCACAAAGCAGAGCGTGGAAATAACCTCAGACATGTCGATCAGCAGTTTGACAGAAAATGGAAGGTTATACATTTTATTCTCAATCCATCATTTTATTGATTCCTTGGGTGGATTGACTGTTTCGTTTCTCTGACGTGTGTTTTGCCGGAGATAGCTGCAGGTTTAAAGCTTAAAGAATAGTAGGGCTGACTCATACAGCTTGTGATGTTGCTGCTATTTCTTTTTTGTGTACGTCCACAACTTTCTTACTGAAAAAGAGTCTTCACCATCGTCATCACAGGCTTGTTATTTATGACTTCAGGAGATAATATCGATACCATCCTGGCTATAAAAAGGTGCAAGAGCAGTTTTATTTGAACCTTTTGGAAAGGCTTTGACATTTTGTGTCTCTGAGGTGAGACATAAACAACTCAGAGTCACATCTACCAGCAGAGGAGCAACCACTGAATCATCTTCTTCCACTCATAGAATTTTCCGTTCTACCAGCAGTCTGAGCTGTAACTCATTAACAGGGGGAACTACTGATTCTCTGTGGTTTATATTCAGGTTGTCTAGTTCACAGCTGTAAAATCCTGTTTCCTGATGTTAAAAACTAATTCTGCACCGTAACAAGATGGTGGGCACATAACCATCAACAGAGGAAAAAATATATCTGTGCACTTTGATTTGTTGCTAAGTCTTTTACTCTGAGTTATTTCTCACACTTCTTACCACTCAGTTTAAGTAAATAACGATAGCTCAGCTGCTATAAATTCAGTGTTATGATGTTTTAAGATAAGCACAGGAAAAACACATGATTGCACAGTCATGTGAAAGCCTTCGTCATGCAACAAAGTGCACATACTTGTTTTTAGTTTTCAAGGATTGAAACACTCAACCCGTGTGTGTTTTCACGCCTTTTTCTTGTCAGGCTGCTGACCTGAGCAAGCCCATCGACAAGCGCATCTACAAGGGAACGCAGCCCACCTGCCATGACTTCAACCACCTCACGGCGACGGCAGAGAGCGTGTCCCTCCTGGTGGGTTTCTCAGCGGGACAGGTACAGCTCATTGACCCCATCAAGAAGGAGACGAGCAAGCTCTTCAACGAGGAGGTGGGTGTCTGAAGGACAGACGGTGGAGTTTTGTGTACAGTGTTTATTACAAGGTGCTCATCAATAGAGATGTTTAATTTCCCAACTAATTGATTGTTGTTTTACTTCCTCTTGAACTCAAAGGTAATTTCTATTTGTTCTTGTTCTTATGTTGACAAAAGGTTCCATGTTTTCACAGAATTTTCTAAAGCTACTTCTGTGTTTTACCTGAGCAGCACTTTACTGACATTGTCATTCCCTCTCCCTCTGTTCTCTCCCTCTGTTCTCTCCCTCCTTTCTGCCCCTGACACTTCCACCTTCCCTCTCTCCTGCCAGAGACTAATAGACAAGTCCAGGGTCACATGTGTGAAATGGGTGCCGGGCTCCGAGAGCCTGTTCCTCGTGTCTCACGCCAGTGGAAATATGTACCTGTACAACGTGGAGCATACCTGTGGCACCACAGCACCGCACTACCAGCTGCTCAAACAGGGGGAGAACTACTCTGTACACACGTGTAAGAGTAAATCCACGCGGAACCCTCTCCTCAAATGGACAGTGGGCGAGGGAGCTCTGAATGAGTTTGCCTTCTCTCCAGACGGGAAGTTCCTGGCCTGTGTAAGCCAAGACGGCTTCCTACGGGTTTTCAACTTTGACGCTGTTGAGCTTCACGGCACCATGAAGAGCTACTTCGGTGGCTTGTTGTGTGTGTGCTGGAGCCCTGATGGAAAGTACATAGTTGCAGGTGGGGAGGACGATCTAGTGACTGTGTGGTCGTTCTTGGACTGTAGAGTCATCGCCCGAGGTCATGGGCACAAGTCGTGGGTGAGTGTGGTGGCGTTTGATCATTACACCACCAGCGTGGAAGAGAGTGACCCAATGGAGTTCAGTGGCAGCGATGAGGACTTCCAGGATCAGATGATCCATTTTGGACGAGACCGGGCCAACAGCACGCAGTCTCGTCTCTCCAAGCGCAACTCCACGGACAGCCGGCCTGTTAGTGTGACATACCGGTTTGGCTCAGTGGGCCAGGACACTCAGCTGTGCCTATGGGACCTCACTGAGGATATCCTTTTCCCGCATCTTCCGCTCTCACGGACACGGACACATACTAACGTGATGAATGCAACCAGCCCTCCTCCTGCGGGCGCGACAATAATCACTAACACCTCTAGTAACGCTACTAATGGAAACAACAGTGGTGCCAATACTCCTGGCATTAACTCTCTCTCAACTGCATTACCACGCTCCAATAGCCTACCCCATTCGGCCGCCACCACGACAACGACGACGACAAACAATACCAACAAGGCCGGCAGCGGTGGTGGAATCGGCAGCGGAATTATGGACAGTGCGATCGCCACGGGTGTGAGCAAGTTTGCCACACTGTCACTCCACGATAGGAAGGAGCGACACCAAGAGAAGGACCACAAACGCAACCACAGCATGGGTCACATCAGCAGTAAGAGCAGCGACAAGCTCAACCTGCTGACAAAAACCAAAACGGACCCTGCTAAGACTCTGGGCACTCTGCTGTGCCCGCGCATGGAGGACGTGCCCCTCCTCGAGCCCCTCATCTGTAAAAAGATAGCACACGAGAGACTGACTGTACTCATATTTTTAGAGGACTGTTTAGTGACTGCTTGTCAGGAGGGATTTATTTGCACATGGGCGAGGCCAGGCAAAGTGGTAAGTTCTTTTTAATGTAGGAAAATGTGGAAGAATTAGAAGTGATGTTGTTTGTCAATCTTTAGCCGTCCAAAAACCAATTGATGGGCTGTAACTAAAAGTCAAGACGTCTTCTCAAAGCTTAAAATAAACATTTGGAAGAGCATTTTTAGCTTTTATAGTCAGAATGTGAGTCTCTGCAGGCAGGCGAATAACATATCACACTTTAGTGTTCAGCTGCTTTCCAGTTAAAGGCCTGTTATTTCTAACTTTAAGATATAACCAACGCTACGACAAATTTAAAGTCTGGTTATTTAATACATTCTGATAAGAAAGACTTCCTGTGTAGAGCTGAGAGGAGAAATATGTAAATCCATAAGAAGCGTGTTCATTGGTTCATCATAATCATTCCACGATGCATAGCAGCACAGCCGAGAAGTCATCTGCCTCCACTCTCATGTTTCAGCTTTTATGCAAATTACTACTTTGCCCTCAGAATCTCTGCAGTCACTCGCATGCTTACACCTTAATGTGTATACATCCCTGAATAGTGTTTGCTTTTGTCTGTGTTTTAAGAGCTTTTGACAGAACCAGACACACAGTAGTCAACATTTTGAACCCAACCAGCAGTGTGAAGGTTGATTAGTCCAGTGAGGGGGTTACTTTTAACCAGTCGGACGTAAACAGACGCTCGGAGCATTCAGCAAATGTGTCCGAAGTGAAATTAAGAACCATGATATTAAGGTGTGCAGCCCAGTCTTTTTCAGGCTGTTGTCTATGGATCAGGATCACACTCACTTGTGGGACTTTTGGACTAAAGTATTGTTTTTAATGTCGTCTTGGGAAGAAAATGGAGCAAATACAGTGAAAAATAACCTCACACTCAGTTTGGGGTAAAAAATGTTCAGCCACAACATTGAAACTGGTTTTAAAGCAACAGCCGTCTGCAGCCACACAGTGACCAATGCTGTTGGGCTCCATGTTCGAGCAATGAAGTGGTTTTTTATGTAGAGAGAACAAAACAAAGTCTATCAATGTGATGATGATGTAGACCCACTGAAACACAACTGAAGGGGGGGTATACCCATGATCCCCGGCTTCCTGAACCAGAAGAGCTGCTGGTAAAACAAAAAAACAAACTATGTTTAGAATTCTTCATATATTTAAAGTTTCCTCTGAATATTGGACTTAAAAACTGTTTTTAAAAAAAAAATCATCAGTAATGGGATTTAAAACTTTTTTTTGTAGTTTAAGTTATTTTCCACAAAGATAAACCACAACATTAAAACCAGTTGTGATGCTGTTGCTGATCAGTGAATACGAAACACGAACAGGGGAAGTGGAAGAGGCAGTGTTTGAGGTCAGTCCTGGCAGAAAAATGAGTGTGATGAGTATTGAACAATCGTAAAGAGATTCAAACAAACTTTATTTTATATTTGATGTGTTATATAGGGATTTGGTGCTGAAGAGGAGGAAAGCGATAAAACTGTAATAGCTGACTTTAGTCCATATGTGCTTGAAAATATCCTCAGACTAGGTCGTTAAAAAACAAGTCAATGGTCCAATCACGAGTCCAAGAGAAGTGCCTTGATCAAGCAAACCTCTCAGAAACAGCGTTAGTCCTCCAGCGTACACTCTGCATCCACTTTGACTGCTGTGCACAGCCTTTTAATCAAGCGCAGGGGACTGTGATGGGGAGGCTAGAGGCTGATTTCCTTTTTTTAAAGAGCTATTTGTTGCTTGGTTTTTTTCTTTTATTTCCTTTTAGTTTTTTTGCTACAGTATGTGAACTTTCCCAATGCAAATCTCCTTGTTTTCCTTTTTCCAGGGTTTATTGTCATCCCAAAACCAAGCCAGCTCTCCCAGTGGAACAGTAGTATAGCCACAATATTTCTGCTGCTAAAGAACCCTGCAACCCAGAGTCTGATGCTGCTCTTCACCCTGCAAGCATTGCAAGTTTTCCTTTTCTTTTACACCCCTCCTACCTCCCGATTTTTTTGTTTATGGCTTTTCTGTTTGTTTGTTTTTTGTTAATCGCTCACTTGACCTAGAGGATTGAAGTAAGAAAAAGTGCTGCATTTGTGGACTACTCACTATGTACTTTTTTTTTCTGGAGTTTTAACACATTTTAGATTCTTTTAAAAAAAAATGTATTTCTTTCACGTCACATCTCATCGGACTGTTGTCCCCTCTGGAATTCAGGCTTGGCTTTTGCTAGATGCAAACCAGACAAACTGTGGCTTGAGATTAAAGGGATAGTTCATTTCATTTTCATGATCGGTGTTAACCTTGTGACGTAGCCCGGTCGTGGCTCAGGGGAGGTTACCGACTCTGATGGGCTTTGAGTGAACTATCCTTTTATGACCAAGTGCGTGAGCATCTGAAAATTTTGCATCCATCCACATTCACTCTCCACTTCTGTCTTCTCTCGAGTAGAATCTCCCCATCGATGACTTTGCACTGATTTTGTTAGTTATTTCATTGTTTGTTTTTATAACTTCTCTAATGGAACAAAAAAAGAGAGAGAGGGTTGAGGATCGCCTTGTCACACTCGGCTTTAACATCCTCAGTCTTGAAATCTGAATCTATAAAGCTTGATGCTGCAATCATAGTCTTTTTAAAGAAAAAAAATTGTTTGCACTTAAATTAGTTTATTAGAAGAGAAAATGGCTTTACATGTTTGGGTGTGCTCAGAACTCACTGATGGCTAATACAGTAGGTGAAGAAAATGATTTAAAAAAAAACATATTAAAACCTTTATCTATTTAGCATTTATTTTAATATTATTTCAGATTCAAATCTGCTCTGTATCATAATGTGTATATTGTAATAAATTGATCTGATGGGGGCCTAAGCAAACTACCATTACGGCAGTGGAAGTTTTGTCATTGATAGTTATATTTCTAAAGCCTAAAGTATACATAATAATATTAAAATAATCTTGAATACACGGTTTACTGTTCTTTTTTTTTTTTCCACCCACATTTACTGTGTTGACACAACAAAGCTGTAATGCCTCTGGCGTGAAAACAGCTTACGAGGTCATGAAGAATGAGCTTTCAAGTACGGAAGACTCAGGAAGCTTCACAGAAAATGGTAGAATCTCAAAAGACTCAGTCAAAAAAATATTTTTAGAAGAAAACATGGAGCTCGATATCCTCCGACATGTCTCAGAAGGATTTTAGCCACGTGAATGGAGGAGTAACAACATTACTGTATTTGTGTGCTTTAACCAGTCATCGTAGACGCAGTGAAGAGTTCAAACATTAAAGACATTCAGGAATTCATTTTACATTTCCCTCTTTATTAAACATTACAAAATAATCACACTTCATTAATTTCAGCACGTGTGTGTCGAGTTGTTTCAGACACGTCAGAGATTAAATTATTAATTATTTTAGGTTAATAACAACATACAAACAATACTTGATTCCTTCTTCTTTTTACTGTGATAATCCATCACAATAAAGTGCAGATTTTGTCACGGTTCATTATTTATGAGCTCACAGCTTTTTAAAGCCACATTATTGTAAGTGAGGGGGTACGAGGGGATTAGTGAAGCTACATTCTGAACATAGCAAAAAAAAAAATCTGATTTGGGCTTTTTTTAAAATCACAACCTGCAATGTTATGTTTCTTTCTAAAAGCCTGTAACAAATACAGTTTTCATGTCCTGATCTAAAAAGTAATTATTTAGTTATTAACTTCCAATTGTGTTTTTTTTTGTGGTTTGCATTGTTTTTTTTATTTTATTTACAGCTGGGTGACAAAATGTGCCTTAAATTACTTCTGATAGTGTAGAATCATTGTGAAGCACTTACTGTGAATGTTTTCGCTGTTTACTTTTGCACAGGAAGACTTCTGCCGCTTTAATCAGTTTCTCTGGAGGAACTGATTCATTGTTACTGGAAGGACTCTCTTCCAATATATATGACCTTATATTTTACCTGTGACACGTTTTCATCCCTGCCCCTGGACTTCCTCATGTTTCATTGCTTGACAACTTTGACTCACAGCTTATTGATTAAAGCTGCTGTGTGTAATTTAATTTTTTTATGCTTCCTTCAAAGTCTGAGAGTATTTTAGGTTTGTCACAGCAGAAGGTGAGAAATACTTCTACAGATTGTAGAGACTTTACATTTAAGTGACTTACTTTGGACATAATATGCTTATCTAATAGTTTGTGTTTAAAAGTTATGAAATAACAACTGGAACAGATCCAAACGGCGGGACACCTTTTTAAAACTACTATTATTTTTGAAGTTGATCATGTTGCACCATTTAAGTTCCTTGACTTGTTATCAAATATCTTATTGCTCAGCTTGTGTAACAGGCTCAGACTGAAGTCTCCACTGTCGTAAAAATGTATCACCTGACTAAGTCAAACTAAACGAACCCGTCCTCAGTCCAACATAATATGACAGAATCTATTACTGTCTGTGTAGAGATCACACTGAACTGTTGGGTGTCGCAGTTGTTATTGGTAAGTTGAAAGACTCTGCATTCTTCTTCATTGCATATCCTTCTCACACATCTTTGCGTCGCTTCACACATCTCAACATCAGGCCCGTCCTCTGTTTTCTCAGTACAGTAAGAGGCTCAGAGTTTAAATCTGAAGCTGACGTGTTTTGGCTCAGTAGCCTCTGTGTTTCCTGTCCAGAGGTGGCATGTAGTGGGTCTTCAAAGCTGCGTGGTGTGACTCATCCCGGGGCTGCAGAGAGAGAAAACGCAGGATGAATGCAAACTCAAGGCCGTCTTCGAAAACATTACAAGGCGCTTGTTTGTCTATATTAACCATGCATCCTTCCCTTTTCCTTTATACAACATCGGGATTTATCTTCTGATATGTAAAAACGAACCTGTCAGCTGTATTTGAATTTCTTCGGTGCCCTTGCTCTGATGTGAATGATTCATAAATGAAAAAGCCTGATGTCTGTGTTGTGCTCCTGCGTTTACCTTGGCCAACTGTGACTGGCACTTCTTAGAGGTGAGGGCTGGCAGTGTGCCTCGGTGAGTGACGGTGAACGCAGGCATGGTGGAGACGGGGAAGGGGATCTGTGGCCGCGGGACGACCACGTTGAGCTTGGGCAACTCTGTGGTGTAATGAGGGATGTTGCGTTTGATGAGGGGCTCTGCTACATGTTTCATGTTGTTCTGTGGGAGAGAGAAAACAGTGCATGGAAGAAACTGAATTCTCACTGATCTGGACTCATGGCTCTTGTACGTTTCACTGAAGATGTGTTTAACAAGGCTAAATTTGGTGAGTAGAGTTTGAACTTACACTCATTAACGGTGTTTGTCGTACATGTCTTCCCCTCAGCTGTTTGCCAAATTTGGTCGGGCGCCATATGTGCTCTATGGAGCTGTGTGTCCCACTACTCTCTACTCCATCGATAGCCGCAGAAACTCTGTGGAGAGAGTCGGCGTTCTTCTCTGCCAGCCTGGGAGAAAAGAAAACAGCAAACAAAGTCAAATTTACTTGAATATAAATGATTTAAAATTGAAGTAGTGTTTTCTGTCTGTGTGAACACCACAAACTATCACACTACCTGATTTCTCTGAAGTATGTGTGCCGCAGGGCTGTTTCTGCAGAGATGCGTTCATTGGGGTCATAGGCGAGCATCTGATAGAGCAGTGACAGAGCCGGCGCTGGGCAGTTGGGGATCAATCGTGAGATACCGGTGCCTTTTTTGGGAGGGAAGTTGAAGTGCATCGCTTTTGATCTGCCAGACAAGAAGAGACCATGAGAATTCTTCTTTTTCAAGTTCAGATTCTATGTGTCCTGCTGCAGTCGCAAGACAAACTCAACAAACAACATTATCTGAAGGAAAACCTACTGCTTGAACTTTTGGAGAAGAGCTTGATCTGGCGTTCCCAGCACGTCGTGGATCTTGGTGACTTGGTCCAACTCATTTGCTCCAGGGAAGAGTGGATTCAAGCTGAAAACACAGGTATGCAGTACATCAACCTGAGAGCCTCATGTGTTTGTTTGACATTTGTTTGTGGTGGTGGACAAGATTAAAAAGAACAACTTTAAAATGATTGATGCATAACGTCTTTATGGTGCCTGTTTAAATTTTACAAATGATACCTCATGATCTCGAAGAAAACACAGCCAGCGCTCCAGATGTCCATCTTCAGGCTGTAGTATCCGTCAGTGAGGAGGCACTCTGGAGCTCTGTACCAGCGCGTGGAGATGTACTCTGTGTGCGGCGGCTTGGAGTACACACTCCGACAGGAGCCAAAGTCCCCGAGCTTCAGGACATTTTGCTGCAAGTTAAACAAGAATTTTCAGAAATGTGGCTAAGAAAATTCACAGTTAGATGTTTGTAAAGCAAATGTATGATAATGACGGAGCTCACTTTGATGAGAATGTTTTCTGGCTTCACGTCTCTGTGAAAGATCCCACAGCTGTAACAAAGACAAAGGGAAGAAAGTCAAATTATATGATGTAGAATTTTTTTTAATGTTTATTAATTACCTCCACCAAAGAGGTTATGTATACGACCCTGTCTATTTTTTTCTTTGTTGGTTGGTTTGCTTGTTTGTTTGCATTATTACTCAAAAACGACTTATTTGAATTTCCCAAATAACCCAGTAAAAAAGAGAATAATTTATAGATCTTGATGACTACTGGGCCTGGGCCGAGGTATGCACTCTACTGAGTCTACTAGTAAAATAAATTATATCTTTATAATCACCTGTGCATGTGTTCAAGGGACTTGCACAACTGGTACATGTAATTCTTTACTGTGTGGTCAGGCAGTGGAGTGTGTCTCCCTGCAAAGAATAAAGAATCAGTATCAGCCCATAATTCTTCTCAAATCATCACATCTTCAAGCTCTACTTGACACAAGACTTACCCAGTATATACTCATAGATGTTCATCTCCATCAGCTCACAAATCAAAGACACTGTCCCAGTTTCTTTGTCGCTGAAACATTGAATTAGAGTAAAGACACCACACTAGCTTGAAGCAGCACAGTCAATTAAAAACACTCCAGCACTCACAAAATCAGCTCATGTAGCTGGATGATATTTGCATGCGGGCTCAGTCTCTTCATCGCCTGGACCTCCCGCAGGTTGTGAGCCTGTTCCAGACTTAACAACAGAGAGCAGACCAGATTTACACATGTCACGACACAGTATAACAATATATGCTTTCTATATCTAGGATTTTGTGTGATTAGTTTGAGGGAAGTGGTCTAAAGCTTTTATAGTGTTCAGCCCAGCTTCATTTGACAGCAGCATTATTTCACTACAGTGTGTGCACCTAACTCACATTTCAAGTACTGACATCCATTGTTACCTCATCACTACAAGGTCAAAAGCAGAGTTGGCTGACATCTAATAGGGCACTTAAGTCAAAGCTGGTGTGAAACCGCTGACTCAAGTTTCAAGGGTCCATAGGAAAACTGCTCCGCTGATGCTTGTGTACAGGACATCAGTGTGGGGCTGAATATTTACCTGTTAATCGTCTGCTTCATGGTTTTACATGCGTAGAACTTCCCATCTTTCAGGCTCTGGGTTTTTAACACCTCTGAAAAAGTGCCCTCTCCGATTTTCTTGATTGTTTTGTAGCCTGCAGAAGGATCATAAACAAAGACATGGACCGATCAAATGGAACATTGGTCAAAAACACATCTCTGTCATATTGCTATTGAAGATCAGTAGAAATTAAATATATCAAATAAAGATAAATCTGGATAATCTAGAGGAAAATCATGTGCTGCATGTATAATACAAAACTCCACTGGACATAAAAGCTGCATGATCATTTTTACAGATAAGTATTTAAGATTTTCTGGGATTCATTAGTCTTCTTATAACTTTCTCAATTAATTGTTTACACTGCAATATATTTGAAACTATATCCAGTTTCAAAGCAGCAAGTCCTCATACTTTATAAGCTGGAATCAGAAAATATTTGACTTAGTTTTTATTTACTTGAAGTTTACAATTATTTTTCTGTCGATGGACTCATTGTTTATCCCACAAATCATTGCAGCTCTAGAATCGATCAATCCATTGTGTTTCGACTGATCGATTAATTGATGAATGTAGAATTAATGTAAAGTTAAATATTATTTATAAACCGATGTCTGGGTTAAAATGGTTAAACTGTCAAAAATCATTACGGTCACCATTTTCAATTACACCAACCAATAAAATGCGTCAAAAAAAGGCCTAAATCAGAGAGACGATGGATAGAAAACAAGATCATGAAAGATATTTAGATTTAAAAAACACTTATTATCTGCTCGGAGACACAACGAGGCTCGTTTGAAGCTAAAACCAGCGAGCAAAGTGACTGGACCCTGGTGAGAAAAACATCAGCGACCTCCTGTCAAAAGTCTCGTCCCCGCTCCGCCGTCCACTCCCGACTTACGCTTCATTCCTCGGATTCTCAGCCGCCGCGTGTGCAGAGATGATCCACAGCATCTGGGCGACACGTTTGAATCTTCCGCTGGAAAATCGAACTCTTATTTAAGCGTCGCAGCGTCCGGACACGTCGGTAAACCGCTGTGGCACGGCTGCTAGCTTAGCCTCGCTAGCGTGCCCTGTTAGCTGACCGTCGCCTTGGTAACGGAGCACGCCTTCGCCCTGCGCTCTGACCTGAGGAGGAAACTGGAGACTCTCAGTTGTTCTCCTCAAAAAAACCCGAGAAACGCAGAAGAATAATCACATTCAACGACAACAATGCAGCTGGATACGCCCTGAAAATAAAACATGTCCGTCAAGCACATTTGAATCGCCGCAGGCCCAGATGTTTGGTACCTTTCCTCCAGATGTGGACGGTTTGCTGCGGGTTGTTGATCCTCGCCTCCACGTGACTCCCTCTGTTCCCACAGTCCGTGTGCGCGGCTGCTTTACACGCATTTCGGAGGCTCGCCCTGTGTTTCACGCCGATCAGCCAGTTTGAGTAGCGCATCATGAGTGCACGATGGTTTCTGAGTGACGTAACATGGGGCGGATCGATGTGTGGATGAAGTCACTGCTCCTCTTCCTCTCACTGCACACAACCACTCAATCTGTGCACTGTATTCCCTGGTGTTGTATTGTGTGTGCATGTGTGTTTCTGCTCCACGTCGGCTTCCGTAGGGCTTGTCATTTCCGCGCATGCGCGCTCCCCTCCTGCATGTTGCCCCTCAGTGCTGATGTTGCTGCAGTAGAGATGTGATCGTTTACACTCAGCGTTCCCATTTCTTTCTTTTTTCTTTAGTGTTTGTAGCCTCTCCTTAAAGTCACCATGAAGACGAGGTTCACCACCGTGGACATCAGAGCGGTGATTGCCGAGATCAACACCAAGTAGGGTTTCTGTTCCTCCAGCTGGCTGTGCTAACCTCTGGCTGTGCTTATGCTATCGCGGATTTGTTTGCATGTGTTGATCCATTCATTCATTCACTGTTTCCTCTTCCTTCACAGCTACATCGGCATGAGAGTAAACAACGTGTATGACATCGACAACAAGACGTATCTCATCCGGCTGCAGAAGTGAGCACTGTTTGAAAAGTTGTCTCCAAAGTTTCCTCATATTGGCCTTTAAAAACTATTACTAAGACTACATCTAGCGCTACTGCTAATAATAACAACACTCTAACCAGTAAACAGTGTATCAGTCAGTGTGTAACCATGTGTCATGTTTTTGGTTCAGGCCTGAGAGCAAAGCGGTTCTTCTCATTGAATCTGGGACTCGGATTCACTCGACAGACTTCGAATGGCCCAAGAACATGATGCCTTCAGGCTTTGCAATGAAAGTAAGAACTTAGATCCTGGAACTTCCACAAAAGATCTGATTGATGTTTTGTGTATTGATTATTAAAGAGTAACTGTTGTCTAAAGTATCATAATGAACAAATAACTAATACCCTTTTAATACTCTTATATTAAATGATCTTTTAACATTGTTGTTATCTGTACTGAACATCACAGAGTTTGATATGTTAATTTCATCCCTACACAAATTGATTTATACATGTCAGTGTTAAGGCTACTGGTTGTTTGCAATCACTGATTTTTAAAGATTGAAACTCATTTATATATTTATTGGTTGGTTGTTGTGATGAAGTTGAAAGTTAAAGCAACTTTCTTTTTCTCTTTAGTGCCGAAAGCACCTGAAGACACGTCGGCTGACCCACGTTAAGCAGCTCGGCATCGACAGGATCGTGGACCTCCAGTTTGGTTCAGATGAAGCCGCCTACCACCTGATTGTTGAACTATACGACAGGGTTAGAATATCCCCCTTTGGGTTTTTCTTTTCAGATGCTACTTGTTTGTGTATAAGTTCAACGTAGACCTGTCTGTATCCATTTTCAGGGAAACGTCATACTAGCTGACCACGAGTACACCATCCTGAACCTGCTGCGCTTTCGCACTGCGGACGCAGAAGATGTAAAGATTGCTGTGAGAGAGCGGTACCCTGTGGAGAATGCCAGGCCTCCTGAACCTCTCATCAGTCTGGAGCGGTAACCACATCTTTACACCTGCCTGTTGACTTCAGTGAACATTAATCATTACTGTTTCTGTGATATATATTGTTTTTTGTTTTTTTTTAATGTAGACTCAGTGAAATTCTCAGCAATGCAACACATGGGGAGCAAGTGAAAAAGGTCCTGAATCCTCACCTTCGTAAGTAACCAGGCAGAAAGTACTCTGTCACCTGCATCTGTTTATTTATTTGTTTGTTAGCAGGAATACGCAGGAACCATTAAACTGATTTTCACCAATGGAGGAATGAGACCTGGGCCAGCGAAGAAGCCTTTCAATTTTGGGGCGGATGTGGATTAAGGGGTGGATTCAGGAATCATCTTAAACAATCTAACATAGGATATTGATATAATACTATTACCAACACCAGATACTCATAGCTAAGAGTAAATATATATTACATTGTCATTTAGTTTTTTGGTTTTATATTACTACTATAAGAAGTAGATGATCATAGTATTGTTATGACTCTGTGATGGTATGTGCTCTACTAAGTGAGATCCTACACTGAACTGTGTTTTGTCTCTTTTCCAATCACCTCTCCAGCTTACGGAGCCACTCTGATAGAACACAGCTTGATAGAAGTGGGACTGCTGGGCTCCGTCAAAGTTGACAACAAAGTTGACGTTGCCGAAGGTAAAGTGGAGCAGCTGGAGACAAGTTTGCTATTTGAGATTTTCTTTGATAATGGCTGTTAATGGTTTCTGTCTGCTTTTCAGTTGCACCGAAAATCCTGGGGGCCCTGCAGGTTGCAGAAACCTACATGGAAAAAACTAAGAACTTCAGCGGCAAAGTAAATAATCTTTATTTAGTGGCAACAGTGCATTTGAGATCCAGTTATAAATGTGGTACATTCACAAGTTCCTTTTTGTTTAAATCCAGGGTTACATCGTTCAAAAGAGTGAGAAGAAGCCAAGCTTAACTCCCGACAAACCCAGCGAGGAACTGCTCACGTACGTCCTGTCCATAAAATAGATTAATATTATACATGCCGTTTTGTTTGGTTATTTATCATATGGTTTATTAATATATGATGATGTTTTCTGTTAACAGATATGATGAATTCCATCCATTCCTCTTTGCCCAGCATTCAAAGAGCCATTACTTGGAGTTTGACACGTTTGACAAGGTGAAAAGTTGCATCACTGCTTATTTTTTCTGCAATTTAAATACAGTTAAAGACTTTTTGCAAGAATGTGATATAAATCCTGTGTGATGCTCTCACTCAGGCAGTGGATGAGTTCTTCTCTAAGATGGAGAGCCAGAAGATCGACATGAAGGCCTTACACCAGGAGAAACAGGCTATGAAGAAGTTGGAAAATGTGAAAAGAGACCACGAGCAGAGGCTGGAGGCTTTGCACCAAGCGCAGGTTAGCAACATGCAGCTTTTACCTTTTTCTGCCATAAATCAATGTTGCACGTAACAACTCCTGCTCTTCATTATCCGATGTTGCAGGAGGTGGACAGAGTGAAAGGGGAACTGGTGGAAATGAACCTGCCCGTGGTGGAGAGGGCGCTGCAGGTGGTGCGCAGTGCATTGGCCAATCAGGTGGACTGGACTGAGATCGGCACTATCGTCAAGGAAGCGCAGGATGCTGGAGACCCGGTGGCATGTGCCATCAAGGAGCTGAAGCTGCAGACCAACCATATCACTATGCTTTTGAAGTGAGACCATCGCTCATACAGAAACATTAGAACAACCATTCTGCCGACACCGTTTGGCTCATGTGTACTTTTCCCTTTAGGAATCCATATATTTCTGAGGAAGACCAGGAAGAGGAAGAGAAGATCAAGGTGGTGGAGGAGAAAGGGAAGAAAAACAAGAACAAAGACAAAGGACAGAGTAAGAAGCTGCAGAAGAACAAGCCCATGTTGGTGGACGTGGATCTGGGCCTGTCGGCGTATGCCAATGCCAAACGGTAAATGTACATGTTAACTTTAAACATAGAATTAGACAGTATATGAGGAGAGCTGCGTTTGGTTTTACAGTTGATGGATTGTGTCCTTGTGCTTTTCTTAGGTACTATGACTACAAACGCACTGCTGAAAAGAAAGAACAGAAAACCATGGAAGCAGTGGGCAAGGTGAGAAAGCTGTGATTTCTGTTTAAATATTTGTGAACATAGTTTATGATCTTGGCAACGATAATTCTAAAGATAATCCATTAGTACAAGACAGAAGTTGGATGCTTTTGCACTTTGATTAAAAATTGACTGATGAAATCATTTCAGGCCATGAAATCTGCAGAGAAAAAAACCCAGCAAACCTTGAAGGAGGTCCAGACGGTGACCACCATTCAGAAGGCCAGGAAAGTCTACTGGTGAGTCCCACTTCACCACGTGTTGGAAACATATCCTGACTTTGTTTTGATTCAGCGTGTGTTCTAAGTACTGGTGCCCTTTCCCCTTGTGGCAGGTTTGAGAAGTTCCTCTGGTTCATCAGCTCAGAGAATTACCTCATCATCGCAGGAAGGGACCAGCAGCAAAACGAGATGATTGTCAAACGCTACCTCCGGGCCGGTAATGGAGAAACTCCCACACACAAGCTCTAACACTTTTTTAAAAAGATTTTTAAAAAATGTAAACTGAGCTGGTTCAGCTCATAATGTGTGTTTTTACTTTGTCAGGTGATATCTACGTTCACGCTGACCTCCACGGAGCGACGAGCTGTGTTATCAAAAACACTTCAGGTACATATACACGTGGTTTTCTTTTCCTTTCTCTCCACTGTTCGACGTAATTTGTCCTGTTTTGTGATGTTAGTTCATTGTACTACTTTTTATTTGTCCGCTTCAGGTGATCCCATCCCTCCTCGCACCCTGACAGAGGCCGGAACTATGTCCGTGTGCTACAGTGCTGCCTGGGACGCAAAGATCATCACCAGCGCTTGGTGGGTCCATCATCATCAGGTTAGTCATCAGTATTAGACTCTTAAACTGGGTACTTCTTCATCTTTATACTGGTTTTGTATGTTAATGAATACTTATTTTTAGAGTTCATGGGGTCTTTCTCTTTACTGTTCAGTTTCATTTCTCAGACACCAGTTTTTACAATTTGATAAAACATTGGGAATTGTGTATTTTACATGATGTGATCATTATTAAGTACAATTGATTTTACTTAATCTTTGGTGGTGCACGTTTACATGTCTAGACATGTTTTACACAGGGTTTCTGCAGGGTCTTTAAAAGTCTAGAAAAGTCAAATATTTCATCTAAATTTTAAACTGAAGTCTTAGATACACTTAAATATTAAGTACCAGGTCTTAAATATGTTAAGGTAGGTTGATTATGTTAATTTAAGTTAATTTAACGCCACTGCCGCTGTACTTCAAACAAGAGAAATGTTTTCCAGCATGTAGTTTGTATAATCTGTGTGTTCTAGTTCTATCTGCACGCTGTAATAAAAATACAAACTAGTCCAATGTGGAACTGATAACTGATTTATCTCTGCAAACTCTCGACTTGGGGAAAGACTTCGGATACCCACTGTCTCAGCCTGTAGTTGTGAGATAACGTGGCGTTACAAGGTTTGTTCTCCACCTCACCCGATCTTCAGTTATGTGTGAGTAGTTGACACCTGCAGAAACTCTGTATATACAAATCAAAATGGCGACCCACTAAAATCATTGCTGATTAACGGTACCTGCTGCCAAGAACTCAGCAGGTTTAACTTGTGTGTCGTCAAACATAAGGAAATAAAAAACCACTAAAAGCAGCAAAATAATTAAAATGTGACATTATACTTTTTTAATCAGGAGAGTTATGTCTAACATAAATATATATTTTGATAATTCAGGTGTCTAAGACAGCTCCCTCTGGAGAATACCTGACCACTGGAAGCTTCATGATCAGAGGTATAATGTAAAGCACATGATTTTTATTTGGCATCAGAACAAAAGAAGGAGAACTGTTATGAGAACTTATCTTTTGTTATGTTTCTCTCCAGGGAAGAAAAACTTTCTGCCTCCTTCGTACCTGATCATGGGCTTCGGATTCCTCTTCAAGGTAAAAACTTTCCAGAGCTTGAACATTTAAACTCTTTTTCCTCCTCTAATAATAATGTTTAATTGTTGCAGGTGGATGAACAGAGCGTGTTTCGGCACAAAGGGGAGAGAAAGGTGAAAACTGTAGAGGAAGATATGGAGGAAGTCACGTCCAGAACTGCCGAGCTGTTAGAGGAGGGGGAGGAGCTGATAGGTGGGAGGACACAAGATGACTCATGTTTGTAAAGATGACGATCAATAGTTTTGAAACTAAATTTCTGTTGCCTTTTGCAGGTGACGACAGCAGCAACGAAGATCAGGGGGAGGAAAGAGACGGAGGGAACAAGGAGGTGAAAAAGGAGGAGGGAGAAGCAGACGTGGAGGAAGAGGAGGAAGGCAGGGATGATGAAGAGGGGATGGAAAAGGAGACGGAGGACGGAGAGGGGGAGGAATTCAGCTTTCCGGATACGACCATCTCCCTCACTCACTTGCAGCCCAGCAGGTAACTTCACCCACGTTTGAAGTAAAAACGCCTTTCTCCGCTTTCTACTTTCTACAAGATTAAATTCAATCCCTCCTTATTTCTAGAAGTGTTCAGAACCCTGGCTTCAAAAAGGAAACAACCTCTCAGGTAAATCGTCTGTGACATTTTAAGCAATTCCATCAAAGTCAGATACATTTGTAAACTGCTTGTCATTAAATCATTCACTTCTACTCAGGCTGAGGTGGACTCACAGGTGAAGAAACACGTGACGGCCAAGCAGAGGAGGTGAGTTAATGGATGAATCTGACATTTTCAACATAAAGATGTAGAATTACTGACAAGTTTACTGTAGAAAGAGAATTTTACAAACCACTTAAAGTATGAGACATGATGATTTCAGGATATACACTCTAAAATTTTATATTTCTGTTTCTCTTTCGTTTATTTTGCATCCTTTATTTAATCTGACCCATTAACATCTTTACTGGCGCTAACATCTCACAAGTGTTACCTACATATAGATACCAAGATTATTCATATAGACCCTGTAGTTGCAGAGCTATACATTATTCATTTCAGGAAGTCATTTTCGAGCAGGAGCCTGGGAAATGGATGAATATCTTTTTTTTGATGTCTGTCTTTAGCAGTCAAGTTCTGTTTGTGACTTCACCCACAGAGAAGAGAAGAAGAAGAAACAGAAACAAGAGGGTTGTGATGTCGAGGAGAAGACCGACACCTCACATGGTGGATCAGCAGCCGACCAGGGGCCCAAAGCTGCAGGAGGCCCCTCACAGCCGCCGCTGAAGAGAGGTCAGAAGGTGAGAAAGAGAGAAGTCTGTTTTCTTTGTTGAGCTCGTGGTTAAATTTAGCTTGAAACCATTAAATGATGGCATGAGTTTAGAAAATACAACTCTAGCCAGAACAAAACCTACATGAAATTTATTAAGAATTGTTGATCGTGAACATCAGTGTGCATGAAATGATGCTTCAACAACATCTGAGTTATCCAGTAAAGTATGAAGTATTCTGATGAGGATGTTGTGTATTTACTTTTTTTATTGTTGAGGGAAACTTGTTTGATCTGTCGTCATTTTTATTATTTGATGGATGAATCTGGAACCTCATCTGATTCTTGTTTTATTTCGCTGTGTGTGTGTGTGTGTGTGTGTGTGTGTGTGTGTGTGTGTG